TTCCCAGTTGAATTTTAAAGTGAAAATTTGGTGGAAATCATCTACACTTCATGAAGAACATGCTCACAAAATTTCATCAGAAAATTCCACCCAGAAGCACTTCAAATGGAGGCGGCTGGACGGCGGTTCCAATCAAGATCAACAACAACAACATCCAAGCCTTAATCCCAACAACATCCGACCTGAGATGATCATTCGTGTGTGTGTGTATAGAGAGAGAGACACAGACACACACACGGTGTGATAAGCTTCGACTTGTATTTCCAACAGCCTAAGCTTCATATCTAAATCTAAGTATCTAACCCTAAGTCTAGGTCAGCGTTTCTTTCCAGCTTTCCATTTCCGTGCCATAGTCACATGGATCGCGGTACGCCATGGTACGCGGTACGAAAACGGGAACGCGGATCGTGAATATTAGAAATCCGATACGCGAGGGGGTAGGCTTCTTCGGTACGCTATTTCGGTACGCGGAACGTTGTCCCATTTGTTATGGTACGATGTGCCATAAACATATGTGTAGTACAATTTACCAAGTATAAATACAATTGATTAAATATAATTAATATAATACGGAGTATTAAACAATTCACTTCAATGAGTCAGTCTTTAATCAATTGCTTATGTGTACCATTTTTTTTTGGAAATTGTGTACCATAATTAAATACAAAGGTTTGAACCACGAAGTCTTTAAAGATTGTGTGGCCTGGAAAAAGCAACTTCGTTTCAATCCTTAAATTCGTTTAGCTTTTTGAAGTTCGAACTGTGAAATCTAAAGAAATAAAAAGTCGTTTCAGACTTTGATTGAGCGGTGAGCCATCGCTTCGATCTTTGAAGTGCGAACGACAAAGAGAGACTCCCGAGTTCGTCGCCGACCTTGTGTCGCTTGGAAAAAGCAGTTCACGGACGCGACTCTTGGACTGATGTTCGTCGGACGCTGGAGGGGACGTGCGAACCACAACTCGGAAACAGCGTACCACCTGGACGGCAACCGCGAACTGCAACCGGAATCCGCCGTACTGGAGTCGCGAACCAGAAGCGACCGGCACGCAACTGTACCGCGATCCGGTACGCGCGATCCGGAACGGAAAACGCGGCTATGTTAGCGATCCCTGTATCTATGTTCCGTGCAACTACTCGATCTAGCACTAGCTCGAAAGTGTCACTCTATTGTTGTAGTTCCGGTCACGGTCCAAAACTAATCTTATCAGATTAGTTTCATAGACTCGTCTATATCTATATGAATGTGGTATCTACTAAGTGAGAATTACAGTTGTGTCGTTCAGGGCATTGACATTGAAAATGATTTTCAAGCAAAAGGCTACAACTCGGCGGAACCTATTCAAAAATCTGCATCTAATAATTTTTTCCAATAGGTATGTTGTGGTGTCCGAACTGTATTTTAACTATCAATGAATTTGTTCCATACATTTACGTTTTGCGAAGTTCATTGTATTACTCCAGTGTGTGAAAATGTGTGTTTTCTTAAACTTCATGACAGCGGCTACCAATTTTTTTTACTTCTATAGTTCTATGGCATTTTCATAGATATTTGAACTTCTAGTTTTGTCACTGAATCTCTAATCTTATGGAAAGTTATTGACTGTTATTCAACTATATTTTCTTCTCTTTCAGTATCCGGTATTCCCTTCTAGGATGATAATATCAATCATATACAAGTTGATATCAAGGGAAGTGACACTGTTGGTCACCTCCTCCTAATGTTGAAGTAGTTGAAATCATTTCATCTAGTGCAAGTTTGGAAAAGCTAGTAGTTTCCCAAAGCAGTAAATGGTAGCTACGACAGCATGAATGCATATTGAATGTGTGAGTGTGTGTGTGTGTGCAACTACTCAACTAGCAAGGTGCGGCATCTTTAGGCTGAGATGATACATAGGGCATGTTATGTTGTTATTTAGAAGTTTGGGAATTTCTCAACCCTTTCCTTAAACATTGAAGTGGTGGAAATCATTTTATTTGCTTGTAGGCATGTAGCAACAAGTTTGTCTCATTAAAAAATATTTGACTCCTGTAAGCTTAGTGACTAAACTAGGCCCACTCTTTTGTGAAAAAGTTTTTTACTATTAAAAGTTTGTATATGAAATTCTTAATTTGTTCTTATATTTGATCAACAACCAGGTATGGTTACCAGGACTGAAAAGGGACGGTGAAAGCCAGCTCCAACCTATCGCTATAGTTTCATGATATGGCACATTTGATGCTGCACCACTAAGTTATTGAATCTCGAGAATTATTTATATTTAACCATTTCCTTTATTTTTTATTGAAATCGGAATAAAACATGGGCTATTTGTACCAATGGAAGTATCTTTAATTTTTTAAAGATATTATTTAACAAATTATTTAATAGAGCTCATCCAGTCCTAACGAAGGAATAAATTATTTAACAGTTATTTTAGGAATAAATCCATCTTGATAGTCTTATTTGAAAAAATTGTTGTGTTATAGTATTATTTTATGATTATGATATATTCCCATACATATACTCTCTTAGTCAATACAAGTAATATTGAGGTTTGCTTCCTTTTGTGCAAAATTTGGCATTTGAGAGATGTTCTTAATATAGTATGGGGCCATTTTGCATACAGATTTAAAAAGTCACCAATCAGGAGCTGAAGTTGTAGTTCACATTAAGCTTTTATTCTGGAGAGTTTATCAACCCAAGATGATAGCTTATCCGGACATTAAAAGTAAGGTTTCCAATATAAGTCTACCATAAGCACGCTTTATCCGAACAACTGGCTTGTGATGAACAAGGGTTTCAAACTAAGTCGGAGCAAGACTGAGTACATGGAGTGCAAGTTTGGTGGAGGTAGAAGCAGTAGTAATAGCGGAATTACTCTAGATGGTAATGAGATACCGGTCAGCGATATGTTCCGTTACTTGGGCTCCATAATTCAGTAGGACGATGAGTTAGATGGAGATGTATCTCATAGAATCAGAACAGGGTGGATGAAGTGGAAGAGTGCGTCGGGATTTCTATGCGATAGAGGTATGCCGACTAGACTGAAGGGTAAGTTTTATAGGACAGCAATTAGGCCTGCATTACTGTATGGTGTAGAGTGTTGGGCGGTGAAACAATGTCACATTCAAAAGATGAGTGTGGCGGAGATGTGCATGTTGCGTTGGATGTGCGGTCATACTAGGAAAGACCATGTGAGGAATGAGACCATAGTCACATGGATCGCAGTACGCTCCGGAACGCGGAACGAAAACGGGATCGCGGTTCGTCAATATCTGAAATCCGATACGTAGAGGGGTAGGCTTCTTCAATACGCTATTTCGGTACGCGGTACGTTGTACCAATTATTATGGTACGGTGTACCATTAACATAAACAATTTATAAAGTATCAAATTTTAAAAATAATAATAAATAATAATGTTAAACAGTTAAATGTAACATTCCACAGAATACTTTGGATATTAGTTTGGAGGTTGAGACTCCCGGAGAACAACTTTTTCGTAAAACAGAGGCGTAAGTGTGAGGCGCTAACACTACGCTAAATAAAGAAGAAAAAAATGGAAAATAAAACTGATTTGGTTGGAGCAATAAACGCGCAGCGAAATTTAAAAAAACGGCGTCGTTGGCTCTTGCATCTCTTCGAAGAACGAAGTAGCCGACCCCTGCGTTCGCTGGAGGAAACGCTCGGACTTTAAGTCGCCTGCGTCGACTGCGTATTCACAAAGCGCAAAGCGCGAACTCCGTATTCAGAGCCGCGTTCTAGAATCGCGAACCAGAAGCGAACAGTACGTAATCGTACCGCGATCCGGAACGGACGATCCGGAACGGGAATCGTGGCATGTCCAGCGATTTCTGTAACTATGAATGAGACAATCAGACAAAGGGTGGGAGTAGCACCTATTGAAGACAAGATGCGGGAGTCGCGCCTACGGTGGTTTGGTCATGTGCGTAGAAGACCGAGTGATGCGCCTGTTAGACGAGTTGAAATGTGTGGAGAAGAGGCAAGGAAGAGAGGGAGAAGAAGGCCCAAACAGACGTGGGTTAGGGGAGTCCGAAGTGATATGTTTTTTCTTGGGTTAAATGAGGGTATGGTTTTGGAGAGAGCAAAGTGGAGGGCGGGTATTCATGTGGAGGAATGATCTCATATTATCTTTTCCTTTTTTTTTAAATCCTTCTATCCTTATATATATAAACATTATTTTTATCCTTTTTATTTTATCATTTTTAGGTATATTCATCTCTTTTTATATTATATTTTTCATAATAGCTTATCTTTTTTATCTTTATTTTCTTTCTTTTCCTTTTGGTGGTGATATCATGTATCGATTCATGTTAGCCGACCCCAATATCTTTTGGGACTAAGGCTTGGATGTTGTTGTCTTGCTTGTTATCTTCAATGATTAATTGCATTTCAAAATGACAATTTCGTTGCTGAACAGATCTCTCATTGCAACAAGAGTGGATGTTTGACCCCTTAAAGCATTTTTCTTGAGAAGCATTTGGATGTTCGACTGTGTTGATAACATTCTGACACAAAGTTCTTGGGAAGCATTACTGCACAATATTTCACTTGTATTTAGTTTATTTTTAGTAACTAAAAAACTTCGATTAGTATGATGTTTACCATCTCTGGTGCATTGATTGATTATTTTAACATAAAAAAGTGCATAGGTTTAATTCAATCTCGAGCTAGAACTTTAGCCCGCGAGCTTCAATATTCGAGCCAAACGAACTGAGCTCAATCATTGTCAAAATTAACGAGCCAAATTCGAGCTTCAATTATTGAGCTCGAGCAACTATAACTATTTCAAGTTCAAACTTGAGCCTACCCAATCGAGCTCGGTTCAGCTCATTGACTGGACTGAAGACTTCAGTAGTTGTAAAATACACATACATCATGCATCTACCAGACCAAACTAAACTTAAACAGACCAGACCAGAAAATTACACTCCAAGTAAAAATATCCTTACAAATCAAGAATGAAGCAGCAAATGAAGTTGAAATGAAGGTATGCCAACCTGCTGACGAAGCAGAAACTCTTTTTGAGACTTCGACAACTGCCCCTCAACTTTTTGGGTGATCTTCTCCGCAACACGAATTGACTATTAAGACAAAGCAATAACACAACAGAAATGCATGACCATCACAAGGAATGTGTAGAGCAACTAAAGGCATTTATCAGTTCTTAACTTCTTACATACTTGTAAATGCCTGTCGACTAGTTCGGTTGCCTTGGAAAGCCTCACTTTGACATCAATTGAGTCCAGCATAGATAATTGTTCTTCAAAACTAATCTCAAAGCTAGCAACAAATATATCTGCCAGCTTGTGTACTGGAACGGTCTCCAGAAGAACTTTGGTCCTCCCTCCAGTTTTTTGTTTCTATAGAGAACACAATAGCACAGATGCATCGGAACTTTTCCTGGTTACTAATGCGACAACTATTTGTATTTCAAGTATATAAGCAGATCCCTAGTTAAAATGGGTTTGGTCAAGTCATTTGATAAATACTATCTCCGTTCTTTTTTAGTTGCAACATTGGTGAATTTTGCACTATTCACATACTCTATTTTGACTACAGTTTATTTATTGTATAAGATTGAATTATTATTTTTTAAAATATACTCCATAGTTGATTCCTCTCATTTTAAATTTTCAAAAACTGATTTTATTTAATTTTTTTACTAATAAGGAATGAAAGATATTAATGGTCAAACTTTTGCGTTGGCAAACGTGAGAAACGGACCATTGCAATTAAAAAGGAACAGATGAAGTATATATCAGACGTAGTATAAAGCTAATTCTTTTGTACATTAACAAATTCTGACCTTCATATGTAACCAAATTTACTCTTAATACTTCTTTGACTCATATATAAACTTTCATATTAAAAGTAACTTTATTTTTAAACAACAGGAAAGTTAACAGAAATTATAAGCCTGAGCTTTCACCTGCTCAAGGACAGAAATAAGCTCCAATGCAGTAGTTTTAAATTGGCGAGAGAGTGCAATGAATTCCTGGTCTTGCTCTACTTTCTCCATGTCTAATCAAGGTTACGAGACTGTTAACTCATCATCTTCAAATAAAGTGGACTATGGCATATTTCTCATTATACTATAAATAGAAGCGCAAGGACCCCCATAGTCCATTGCCATGATGATATTGAACACCAAATGAAAGTTTGGCAAGGAAAACACACAAATTGGAATCCTGCAATCCATAACTGAAGAGACTAGAACCATGCGTCTCATGTACTTGTTGCTTGTGTCATCTACTCGCTGAGTACTCGCAACTCGGGGAGTGACCATGCCGTCTAGCAGTCTGACTCGGCTTGTTTTTTCGAGTTACTTGGCGAGTTTCCTAACTCAGTGGCAATTTTGACTCAGCGGGTTACTCCGCAACCACTAAATGTTTTTTTGAGTTAAATCTGAAAAGTTTAAACTAAATCGGGAAACTATGAAACTTATAAATAATGAGTGGGTGTTTCAAAAGTTGGGAAAATAACATTACAAAGTTAGTCTAGGTTTAAAAGTATTGAACAGATCGGATCATACTAGTGAGATGATTGATTTTTCTTGAAAACTTGGAATGTTTATGATTTTTGCTACTTCATCATTAGGATTATTGGTATTCTTTAATTCATATCAAGAAATTAAATGATAATCACTGAGTAATCCCAAGTACCCAGTCCTACTCGCACTCGCTACTTGGTCCTAATATAGTACTAGAATTTCAGACATCTCACATATATATTTTTAAATTTAATTTAATTAATACAGTGTTGAGTAATCACTGAGTAATCCCGAGTACTTGGTCCTACTCGATACTCGGCCCTTGACTGAGTTCCTACCGAGTAGCGATATAACTACTTAGCTTGTTGTTGATTAATGTAACCACTAAGATGACTAGTATATGCTCTTAATGGTTCAAAAATTCGTATATCATTACAATATCATTTCCTAGAACCTAATGGTTTACATTAGGGTGGACTGCTATGCAAAAAGATTTGATCGGCCAACATTGACAAGAACAAATCTTCTTTGAAACACTGATTACCTAATCTCTCACATATCAGTCCTAGCTGTGTAAGAATATCTAGCTGACCCCATAAAAAAGCTAATAATCCATTAGAGTATTAGACACTTCAAAGGTAGCATATATTGTTCAAACTAATATGAAATCCACTAACAATTGACTCCACTTGGGGGTCTCTTACATCTCTTAAAACAACCTACTTGTTGTTGTAGCAAGTTACAGAAGAGGCAATAATCAGCTACAATTTAAAAGACGGGTGTAATAAAATCTTACCGGTCTTGGTCATATCGAGAGAAGTAATCCTTGCTGTATAATATGTTCCTCTTGTGCTTAGCTCTTGTACACTGAATCTGCACAGTCCTTCTAGCACAACTATGTAAGTGACTCTCCCACTCGGTTTTTCTACTCCTCTTGAGAGATGAAGAGCTCGAGCAGCAACCCCTCTTCAGGAAGAACATCCGTACATTATATATAATAGAAGGCTCGCTAACTCAACTTCTACCTAGTAGGGGGTGTTTGGATCTGATTCTTAAAACTGCTTCTGCTCCCTGTTGGAGTGTTTGGGTGAAAGTGCAGAAGTACTTCCGGTGCTCTCATTTACTTCTAGAATCAGTTTTTTTAGAAGCTGGGGAAGACCAGCTTCTGAAAACTAATTTCGATTCTGCTTTAAAAAAAAGCAGAATAGGTTCCAAACACCCCCTAGATATCTGACACACTTTATTATGTACAAACGCCAATATGTATTTACGATTACATTTGAAACCTAATTCATAAAAAGTAACTCACTTAACATGGTATATTTACCGATTATGCCACTGAATAACTTCATGCTGATTTTTCCCATCATGATTGTGAGCATCTGTCATAAGACCCTGACTTTTCGGTGTGCGCTCCACTTGATCAATTGCCACACCTACATCACTTGCATATTGGCTATTTAGATAATCCATCAAAGTGAGTACCGGAAGAAAAAAAATTAACAGCATAGTAAATAAACTCATATGCATTCACCTGGAGTTAAGGGAGGTCTAACAGTAGAAGTCTCTGCAGAATCCTGTACAGGGAGAACCCCTATCAATCCCTTCTCTTCTCTCTGCCATAACTCTTGCTCCACAAGTTTCACACTGCTCCAATCATTAACACGCTTGCATCAAACCCAAACCGTGGAAAAAAAAATAAGCATGGATAGGAGTATAGAGCTCCAACAATTGTGAAGCCGCCAATAACTGAAACCTTCTACCTCATAGGCAGTTATAGCTTATACAATTTGAAATAGCAACTTTCTCAGTCACAAAATAGCCTGTTTAGCTCTACTTGAATGCACTAAACTATTGCCATATTCAAATTTTGTTTTGCTTTCAGTAGAACCTTCAGTTTAGTTTCTAAATATGTAAATTGGAATCATAACAAGCTAAACACATTCAACATAAAAGTGAGGTTTATTTAGTGAGGAAGGTAGTATACTGTATATTTTCATAACTGTCAAGCACAGTTGACTTTCAGCTAGTTCACTTTTTTAGGCGCCAGGCTCTATACCCAGACAAATCGGACTCAGAAGGACGATCCTATAGCGTGAATAAATGTCAGGACCATGAAAACAGGCAAACAAAGTAGTAGCACAAATGGCCCTAAGAAGGACTACGCTATGATTTAGATTTCAGAGCCAAGAAGTGTCTAAAAAGAAAAGGTGATAAATGAAAAAGATCACGGACCTGCGAGGAGAAGTGCATCGAATTCGAATTATAGCGCCAGGCAACAACACTTTGTTCCTGAAAGGAAGGATTGCAAGGCGGGTTGGGAGCTCAACGGATTCCGCCATACTTTAGCTATTTCCTGAAATCATTCGGCAGAACAGATAGAGTTCAACAATAGGGAGTACAGATATAAGCGTAGCAGGAAGTATTCCAAAACATTAATAAATGTTTTAGAAAAAGGTATAAATAAGGTACGAGAACAAATATACTTTTTATTGTCTTTTACATTAATAAATGTAAGACGCTTTCATCCAAAAAAAATGAACAAATATACTGCTGAATTATATGTACGGATGCATATATAACCTTGAACTTTTTAAAAGGTATAGATATACCCCTCATACATTTTGGTGAGCACCGGCCCAATTATATTAAGGGAAAATGGAAATTAATAATCCAACCTTTTAGCGGTCTTCTTACAATAGTCCTACCTTTTGATTATTCATGAATAATCCAACCTTTGCACCTCATCTTCATTCACTGGTTCCTGACCGGTTGATGACCTGTTATTCCAAGTTATTTTCTTATCTTTGCAAAATATTATCTTTGTGAAAGGTGAGATTTATTCCAAGGTAAGAAGACCTCTAAAAGGTTGGATTATTAGTTTCCATTTTTCCTTATATTAATTATTAGTAGAAATTACCCATATGAACCTCTTTTACTCTTTGTATTTCACTTATGACATCCGGTTTTTTTCATTCAACTCTAATCTTTCCCCTTTTCACTTTTAGATTTTTTATTTCAAAATAGGCTAAACCTTTTTATCTCTCATGCCCGTCGCTTTCCATCTGTTCCTCGCTTTCTCTTTCACGAAGCATCATTTCTCTCTACAACCACGACAGGGATGTTAGTCGTAGTTTCTCGGCTACCTCTGCCGGTGGCTCTCTTTGATTCTAAATTAAGCAATTTTAGATGGATTTTGACTCAGTTGCCTCTCACCGAGTGCGAAATATATGGTTTTAAGGTCCATCCTATGTCTAGCCAGAGAGCGCCAGAGATATGCCTTGGATTAATTGCTTAAGTAGCTTTCATGTTTGGACAGTTTTCCGCTGGTGATCAATCCGGTGGCCTCCAGTCTAGGAACATGGTGCAACCTCTATGTGTTTTCGATGCAGATCCGAGAGTGTGGGGATATTCCTGTGACGTCCAGGCGAGAGCTTTACCTGGATATCGGTCCCTTCATCCCGATTTGGAAGAATAAATCCATGAGGTATCTATATGTTTTGAATTTCCTCTCCTTAAATTCTCTCAAACCGGCTCTCATTGACATTGCTATGAAGTAATTTGAATTCCTAGGAAGATTACAGTTGGACAGCTTGATTAAAAGCTTGTTTTGATAGATTTTGATTTGGCAAAGATTCTATTCAAATGTTTTTAAACATAATTTACAATGTTAGTATTAATATGTTCTGAAACCATATTGAGTGTGCTTCAATTGTGCTCTGCAATTTGAGTGCATCCTTCAAATGAGCTCTGCGATTTGCGTATTAGGGAATTCAGAGAGAAAACTTTGCAAAATATGAAAGCTAATAGAAGTTTTGCAGAGGATGAACTTTGAGTTCCTACAAAAATGTAAAAAGGCAAAAGGAGTAAACAAAAATATTTTAGGAAATATTTTAACTGTAAAAAATGGTTTGTGCTACAGATAATATGAAGCCACTTTTAATGCTTAATTGTTTATTTAAGAAAAACAGTAAATTGGTGTTTAAGAAAAGTCCTTAAATGAGAAAGCACTCGTCATTGAAGAACTTACGCCCTAAGTTATCTCAAACAAGATCATAATATCTATTTTTGATAATAAAATAACTAAAGTTAGGATATACTACCCCCGTCCCGGTGGACTTTGTCAAGTGCAAAGTAGGTGAGAAATAAGAATAGTAAAAACTGTGTGGTTGAGATTTGTGCAGAGGAGAGAGAAATGTGCATAACCACAAATTGATTGTTTTAAGGGGAAATTTGACTTTGCACCCCACTTTTTAGGTGATATTGGACTTTGCACCCCAACACATACCATTTTGTGAAGAAAAATTTCTAAATGGGGTACAAAGTCAAAGGAATTTTAAGTGGAATGGGGTGAAAAATTAAAGTTTTTTTCAAAATGGGGTGCAAAGTCCTATATCACCCAAAAAGTGAGGTGCAAAGTCAAATTCCTCCTTGTTTTAATTGGAAAGTGGCAAAGTTTTTTGGGACAATACAAAAGGAAAAAATGGCAAAGTCCAATGTGACGGAGGGAGTACCTTTTTTTATTTCTGTATAACTTTTATTTTCAACAACTATATGTAGAAATTGTTTAAAAGATAAATTTCATGCATGCTCTTTTTTGTGTCCGCATGGTGTACTATAAGATCCAGATGTAAAGAAGCAAATGATTAAGAAGTTGTTCTGTTCGTCTTAATCTTATTACTTATTGCTTATTCTTATTTTATTCAGATCAGATCAGATCAGAAAAATTCAGATCAGATCAGAAAGATTCAGATCAGATCAGATTAGAATCATTCAGATCAGATCAGAATAATTTAGATCAGATCAGAAACATTCAGATCAGATCAGAAACATTCAGATCAGATCAAGAACATTCAGATTAGAAAAGTCCATACATGATTTATCCCTTTTATTATAATAATAATTATAACAATATTAATAATAATTATAATAATAATAATAATTATTATTATTAATTTATTATTATTATTATTATTCTTGTTGTTATTGTAATAATAATAATAATAATAATAATAATAATAATAATAATAATAATAATAATAATAATAATAATCATCATCATTATTACTATGATTACTATGATTATTATAACTAGTGTAATACATATAATAATAATTATACCTATTATAATTATTATTATAATTATAATTATAAATTTTTATAATTATGATTATAATTACATTTAAATTATATATGTGTAATTACATTTCTAATTATAATAATTAAAATTAAAATTATAATTATAATTTTAGAAATATTTAAATCAGATCAGATCAGAAGGATTTAGATCAGACCAGGAACATTCAGATCAGATTAGGAACATTCAGATCAGATCAGGAACATTCAGATCAGATTAGGAACATTCAGATCAGATCAGGAACATTCAGATCTGATCAGGAACATTCAAATCAGATCAGAAAGATTCAGATCAGACCAGATCAGATCAGAAAGATTCAGATCAGATCAGATCAGATCAGAACTTAAAAAATTCAGATCAGAAACATTCAGATCAGGTGAAGAGCTTCTAACACCCATTACAAACTGAAGTAGCACCAAAGTATCATGGATGCCAAGTGTTATTGGATTCAATAAACAACTATGCTATAATCCACCAATTGACGCTAAGTGTTACGAAGTATTAGACTTCTTTTTAGACTTTCCTGCAGGAACTGCAATAAACCGTTCTGCATCAATCTTCTTAATTGATCTTCGGATCTGCTCCGCGCGCCTCCAACAATGCTATGCGCACCCAATTTTTGTCAAATTAGGACAAGTTTATCCTTAACCAATTGCTAAGTCGTTTCAAATGTGCTAAGCGCACCACCTAGGCGGCTAGCTAGCACCTACGTGTTGCAGCATCTCCAGGTTTTTAATGGGCTCCATTAGTTTTTACTCTCCCTCCAATCACTTGCCGCCATGTGGCCAATTTTCCTTTTTTGTAAAATATTATAACTTTTCCAATTTTGCTCCTATTTTTATAAAAATTATATCAAATTAAATAATTTTTCATGATCTTTCATATGACATCAATATCATATATTTGAAAATTAAAAAAAAGTCAGGTCTATTGAACGTCTGATTAATGTATATTTAGAAGTTGTTCTCTTTGCCTGATCTGAATGCTTCTGATATGAATTTTTTAAATTCTGATCTGAATTTTTCTGATCTGATCTGAATCTTTGTATTCCGATCTGAATTTTACAGCTTGATACATCCTGAATTTTTCACGCGCTAGAAGGACATTACCAAGCTTTTTGGAATTAATTGGCCTCGATTTTACAATACTTAATACCATGTTTCTCTTATTGGCCTCAACTCTAGCCCAATCCATCATAGACTCCCGACCCGTCTAAGTTTTATGAGTTTGAAAGTCTTCTGAAAAATCATGTGAAGTGAATTGTTGTGCATCTTCAACAATTGGAGGTTCAAAATTCACATCTTCTTCGCCAAAAGTGGAGCTATCATCATGAAAAATAAGGCTGAGGTACATGACACTATCATCCTGCATATATCATTTTTTTATAAAAGCAATAATATGAGATACATGTAAATTATGTAATACAAACAATATACATTTATATTTAGATTTTTTTATACGTGACTTGTTTTTCAAAGTTGCTCAAAATATGGTTACCAAGTTCTTTAATTAATACTCCCTCCGTAACTTTAGAATCTTCCCATTTCAAAAGTAGGTAGCTAGATTAAGAATAGTGAAAGATGATATGAATTATTGAGGGTATGATGGGAAAATAGTGGAATAATGTGGTGGAATGTAGGATAAATCCAAAAAAAGTAGTTGTAATAGTGTATTATTTTAAGAATTATTGAGGGTATGATGGGAAGATTTAAAAATGGGAAGATTTTTGTGTTACGGACGAAAAAGGAAAGTGAGAAGATTTTTAAGTTACGGAGGGAGTAACTTATTAAATTCATGTAAAAACTGGAAAATATATTAAGTACATCATAACTCATTGAATTTACAAACCGAAACATATTTAAAAAACTTCAATAAAAATAATAATCAAAATACAATTTCTCGAATTCCAAGCACAAAAAGTTTTTGAAAAATAACCCCGAAAAACCGAAACATTAAAAAAATCAGATAAGAACTTAAAAAATTCAGATTTGAGACATTCAAATCTGACGAAGAGAACAACTTCTAAATATACATTAATTGGCCGTTGAATAAACCTTACAATTTTTTTTGTAATTTTCACATGTATGATATTGGTGTCATATGAAAGATCATAAAAAATTATTTAATTTGATATAATTTTTATAAAAATAGAAGCAAAATTGGAAAAGTTATAACATTTTTATAAAAAGGAAAAATTGGCCACATGGCAGCATGTGATTGGAGGGAGAGTAAAAATCAAAGAAGCCCATTAAAATTAAAAATGGATGCTTGCAATCACGAGGTGCGCCTAGCACATTAGAAGTGCCGTGAGCAATTAATTAAG